AATTTTTCAGAAAAATTGTAACAAAAAAGTGGACATAAAACAACCTCAAGAGGTTGTTGGGCAAACATATGTACCTACCGTATCCGTGCGAACGTGGGTAAAAATAGCAATTTCCCAAATTTCGGGTAATTTTCCCTAAAAATAATTAACAACACTGATCACGTGACTCATGTTTTATGTTCCAAAAATAGCATTTTAATTTAAGACATAAAATTCTCAAATAAGTGATTATAATTACTGACTCACTTATGAAAGGTGATTCCTTGATGTTTTTTTGATAAAACCACTATGATTTTTAAAAAATTTAACGACGCAAGACGGCATATTGATTTTTTGTTTTTACTTACGACAACAACATCTCGCTGACGACGTTGCGTAATGGCGGGCGCTAGATTTATTATTAGTGTGAATGTGTGCGTGACCCCTTGTACGTACAAGCGAGCTGACTTATTTTGGGTGCCTCGCTGAGTTGTATAGCGAGATTCAGTCCGCCTTTTTTTTATATGTCCATGGTGTTGATACATGTGATTTTTTGTGTTATACGTCATCGACAAGTTTATTTTGGAAAATTGCTGTCCGCCGTGTAATTTGGCAAATAAATCGTGTATTGACTGACGGCAATGGATAGTGTTCAACTACTAACTGCTTGTTATCTTACTGAATAATGAGCACAAAGTCTTACAGTACCGTTTCGTTTTAATACTGGTACTATAGGAGAAGCGTATACGGAATATTCCACGGGTTTTAAAATCCCTAAATCTACTAATCTGTCGATCTATTCGTCTATTTTATTTTTAGTGAAAAAGCTACTGGCCGTGCTTTAAAAAAATGGCTGTGTTTAAATGGTTAAAAAAAAATGGTTGGTTTTAATTGCAACTTTACTTTATTGAATGCACCAAGATTATTAGAAAATACTTCTGGATATTGCTGCTGAAATTTTAGCATAATGTTTTCAGTATTCGATACAAAATTACACTTAACTAATTTCATTTTAAAAATCGACATAAAATCACGACCCAATAACGGCGGTCACAACGTAAACATTAGTGTAGTAGTGCGGCCGTCTGCCCCGAGTATATTACCGGCTTCCTTATTAGTCCTGCGGAATTAATATTGTTACCGGTATAAGATGTCAATTTTTTTAGCGCTTCGATGTAAGGGAATGCTATTTAAATATAAATCGTATATGTCTTTAGATGTTACCGACACCCGCCGACCCACTATCAATTTCAAATTTTAATGCAATGTCATTAATTGTTACCAGTTCAACTATGGGTTCATCATTCCTAGAATGTAAGTTAAACAACTTACCGTCGTCCCCGCTCTCATCCACCTCCTTAACTTCAATGTAATTCACACATTTTTTGTAAGTGACCGTTTTTATTACACTTTTTACACTTACACTGTGCAAACCGACACTTTGCTGAACTGTGGTTAGAGCGTCCACACACGGAACACATTTCCACTCGTCTGGAATTGGGTGAACCTTCAGTGATCTTGAGAAGCTGATCTTCCTTGACGTCAGGGAGCATCGCTGCTGCATATCCTGTAGTGGAGGTGGATGCGCCGATACGCGCGCATCGTACCGCCAGTTCGACTGCATTTGTCAAAGATAACTGCCAGTTCCGGAGTGAACAACTTCTCGCGCTCGGGTCTTACAAATCTATCCCGTAATGCTTCTTCTACATTGCTGAATAAGCAGTGAGCTGTCAAGCCACGAAGCCTTGCAGCCTACTGAACATGTGATTCGCCTGGATGTTGTGTTACCAACTAAAACGTACTTCTTTCACTAAACCCGTGACGCTATGGTGTAAAATGTCTATCTAGGAGGTTTTATTTTTATTTTATAGGACAGGGTGACGAACGAGCACACAGTCCATCTGATGGTAAGTGGTTGCTGTGGCCCATAGACATCTACATCTACCCTCGTTTGCGAATCAAAATGCAGATGCGTTATCAACCGTGACGACTAAGATGGAATGCCTCTTTTCCAGTAAAAAGGTTCAAGATATCCTCAAATGGTACCTCACGGATTTCCTTAGGCTGTGGAAGATCTGACCCTAGTTGGTATGTACCGTCAGAGAGTGCGCTCAGGAATATCGCTCTTCTTTTTTCCCCTCGTACATCAGTTGCAAAAGTAATATTATTCGCAATGAACCACTCCGTGAGGCGGCCGTTGTACGTATTCCATGAGTGCACATTGTGGTCGAAAATTGATAAAATTCCGACCTGCGTTGTGGCCATTTAAAAAAAATGTGGGTATTCGTCACCACTGGTAAATATGCGTACAGCCTGACGTCAACTACAGCAGAAATGCGTCGAATCTCTGAAGAATCGAATCGAATTGTTCATTCATCGCAAATTCTTCATCAAAATAGGTCGTTTTTGCGTCAAAGACAGCTCGTCCATGACGCAAATCATGATAATGTGGATCTCATGATTAAAATTTTTTGGATATTGTTGGACCAGTGATATCAATAGCTCTTTATTCATTTTTATTTAAACAAAAAGATTCTTACGAAAACGAAATATAAATTAATAAAAATATGTTGGCGCGCATCCGCTTCTCCGCGTCGACTGAGGTGAGGCGCGCCGAGTTGAATCGAATCGCACCGGCGAAGAAATTCGCCTGTCAAGCAATTCGCGCGGTCGATTCAATTCGCCGCGCCGCGGTTCGTCGCAAATGGACGCAGTTTCATAGTAAATATATAAGAGGCGACTTTCTGCGATTCGATTCGACTCGGCACGGCGAGCCTAGTGGACGCTTAGCCTAATAGGGGCACGAGTGAAACTACTGCTTTTTATTCCTTAACTGTGACAAATAAACGTAGCCGTACACAGGTACCCATTGGTAACCTATTGGTTTTTGGAAAAGTAGTTCAGTTATAGAAAAAAGTACCCAAACTCAGTTTTTTTTCTATTACAAAAACTATGGGTGGTATGGGAAAATGCTTAAAATACTAATAAAAGATCTATTAATATTACGTAAAGAAGGTATTATCACTTAATTCAACTCATTATTAAGTATGTTGTAAATGCGTCTAGAAGTAAAAAAAAAAACTGTTAAAAATTGATTTTCCACGAAAACTAAGTGACGTAAGATAGTGTGATATAATAAAAAAACCGGCCAAGTGCGAGACGGACTCGCCCATCGAGGGTTCCGAACAAATCCGTAGGTATATAAGTTTAAAATTATTAAAAATATTTTTATTATATTATGTAACTAAAAATTTATGCTTTTCGCAATTTTTCCTTTATCTGTGCTATAATACGTTGCTTCGTACCAAATTTTAAAATTCTGAGTTCACGGAAAATACCCTGTAGGTTTTGATTCCCTTGCGAATGTCGAAAATTTGCGGCATAAACGGCTGTATCTTTTCTCAAAACAGGACATGGGTTTATTTATACTCTAAAAACTATAACTTTATACAATTAGTGTTCAATATAAAATTAAATTCGGTATAGACGGTATTTATTAAATGCAACATATTTTTTTAATTATTAATTACATTTGTCAGTGGATTAAATTTGCTTTAATAAAGTTGGTGATGATTTTAAATAAGAATAAAATTCTGCTCAAGTTTTTTTATTGTTACCTTTGTTAACAACATCGCCTTTAGAACTGGAACCGTAAGTGTTTCTTTGAGACGTCCACAGTTTATTCAAAATAAAAAAAAAATACTCTTTCTACTGGAGCATTTGTACCAGGGAGACATAAAATATATTCGATTAAAAAAATTATGTTGAAGATTGTTGACTTTGAATACTTCCATCCAACGAGTTACGGGACAATTTTGTGTCCCGGAGCTTTGTTTGGGGACAATGGGACAGGTGACCGAGAAAAGGGATAGTCTCGTTCAAAACGGGACGTTTGGTCACTTTAGCTATAACCCGGCGACGGCTCCGTGGCGCAGTGACTTAGCAATCAGTTTTTGCGCTGGGGGCCGCGGGTTCGAATCCCACACGGAACAAATATTTGTATGGCCTACAAATAATTGTTTTGGGTTTGGATGTTTGTCCTTGTACAATTTATGTTTGTAAACTGCCTCCACGACACAGGAGAAAATCCTAGTGTGGGGGTAACGTTTTTTTACAATTGAAATTGAAAGATTGAACCCTTATACTTCTTGTTGATTTTTGTATTACCTTTATTAAAGTTACCCTTATGTATAAATAAATATAATTACGTATGTAGAAATAAAATTGATTTTCATCCTCATCAATCATTGGAGTGAGGATAATGTCTGCCAGCATAAGTAATAAGTAGGCTAAGTTACAAGGTGCTCAGTTCAAAAATTAGTAGGTAGGTATGTTACTTTTCAATCGTCCAACGGTGAGCAGGTTGACGAGAGAATTGCTACCCTGATAAAATATTATTTAAATAGAGCTAAGCAGTTTTATACCTAATATGTGCATTATACTGATAAGTCCTACTATAATAATTGATGTTCAAGTTTCGGTATTCTAACTTCTGTATCGGTATTTCGACCTTTCCCTGGTTCGTTTCCAGTGGTGTTGATTTGTGGTGGACGTTATATTGAAGGGTATGTGGAGGCTAAAAGAGCTTCCTCAGTAATCGTTACACAAAAACAACAAATATATGGTGCGTTCCATCTACATTGCGTTGAAGCTAAGTATTAGGTCTTCACCATAGATTAATGATAAGTCATCGCGCGCTCTGACTAGATACCGCGCACCCTGCAAGTAACAGCTCTTTGAATGCGGCATCTTAATATTGTAGTATATATAATGGCGGCTGTACACGCTCGTCGAGACACCACGAGACAGGCCGAGTACGAGTATGTACATGGTGCTCTCGTCGCGTCGCGTCGCGTCTCGTGGGCCTCGTTCGCTCTCGGAAGCATGTCGGTTTTCTACGCTCGAGTCAAAGGGTCTCGTGAGTCTCGCGATGAAAACGAGAGCGCGCCTGTACACACTCGTTCGTTTAGTTGCCCGCAAACTGCGTTCGCGTGAAGTGGTGCATGCTGCGTGCGACAATTATGTGGTCTAATGCGCGTGAATTAGAGTTTTTGGAAGCCTACCAAAGGGAATCAATATTATGGAATCCAAAGGATGCCAGGTACAAGGATAAGCAATTAGTACATGACGCTTGGTTGCGGATAAGCAGTGATTTAGATATCCCCGTTGAAGAATTAAAAAAAAAGCGAGACTCACTGTTGGCTACGTATCGGAACCACAGAAGGAAAGTTAGATTATCCTTGCAATCCGGAGCTGGTGCTGGATCTGTTTATAAACCGTTTTGGTTTGCATACGACTGTATGAATTCATTCTTGCACGACGCAGTTACCAGCAGAAAAACATTAAACACAGATACACAGGTAACCAAATATTTATTTCCATACATGAAACCGTTAATTTAATTAACATTGTTTATTTTTTTATCATTAGTTTAATAATATTAAGGTACATAACTAAATGTAGTAAATAATTCATTCAATTTAATTTTGGATATTTTGTCGATATTTTTAAACAGAGAAATTGGATATGTACTTACTATATTATTAATAATGCATTATTGTAACAGTTAAAGAAATAAGTTGTAAATTCGTCCCTTATCTGATGGGCATTCAGTGCCGATCTTCTTGGGATTTGTTGCAAGGGTCTGATGGCACACGTATCTTCAATTTCATTCCTCCAAGAACCTGGGGTAACCAGTACATCATTACTGTCGTAAACATCTGTTGTACCTGGGGGCGTATATATTGAGTGTGAATAACTACTACTTCTTAAGAAATTGTGTAGTAGTACACAAGTCATAGTAATGATGGTGGTTTTTTCTGGGTCAAGTAGCAATGGTTTTCGAAAAACTCTAAATTTTGAGGCTAATATACCAAAAGCATTTTCAACGACTACGCGTGAAGATGAAAGTTTCATATTGAATATACGTTTCGGTGTTCGTTCATTATGACTTCCAGGAAAAGGCTTCATTATATGTGTTGATAATGCAAATGCTCCATCGCCTAAAAACACATATGGAACTTCTCTTGTACTACCTGGAAGTGGTCGTGGCATTGGCAAATTTAAATTATTCGAGCAAATTTTTTTCCAGAGTTGACAATTTTGAAAGACACCACCGTCACTAATTCTGCCCTGACTACCAATTTCTGCAAATATAAAATTATAATTGGCGTCGACTAAAGCAAGTAGTACAATGCTAAAAGTCCTTTTGTAGTTGTAGAATTCCGAACCACTATGTGCAGGAGATTGCATCACAAATGTGTTTCCCATCGATAGCTCCAAGGCACCGTGGAAATTTTCTGAACCCTTTTGCTAATTCCAACCATGACTGTGGATCCTGTGGTATCTGTAACATTAATACATGTTTTGTTATTTTCAGAATCTACCAGAACCAGAATCACCAATTCAAAGTCGAATTGAAAGCGAAAGTATGACTCAAAATGAAAATACAGATCCTAACAGTGATCAATCACAAGTTCAGATTCCTTCGCCATTGCCGAAAATACCACGACGTCGAAAAAATCCTATTGAACTAGAAGAGGCTGGGAAGACAATGAGGGATGATATGTCCACACTTAATACAGTTTTGAATAAAAAGCAAGTTACAGAAGATGATTACGATCGTTACGGCAAGATTATAGCCAATAAACTCCGTAAATTTTCCGACACAGAAAGTCTACAAATAATGTATGAAATAGATGGGATATTTATTAGGCGAATAAACAATGCTGCTAACGCATCACCCACATACTACAGCCGTCCCTCACCATCGCACACACCATACTCAGAATCCACCAGACAAATTCATACACCTTTATACTACGCGCGCCCTTCATCGTCGTGCTCATCTTACTCAGAAACCACCAGACAAATTCATACACCTTTATACTACGCGCGTCCTTCATCGTCATACACATCTTACTCAGAACCTACAACTTTATATACCAATCAATCAAGAGTGCAAATACCATCCCCAGCTACCACTGAGCCTCCTCTCATACATATTATATCAGATCAGGTCTTGACCCCAGGAACAATTTCCAATCAATCTAATGATGATATCATAACTCAGGCATATTATGATGCTTAATTATTGTACAGTAAAATTTAGCAATAATTAAACAGACTTGTATTTTGAATTATTAACATTATTGATTCAAATATTTATATTATTATTGATTACATTACTGCAGCCGACTAAGGTAAACATCTGTATTTGACTGTATCTAAAATAAATAAATAAACGTTGCGCACACCAAAAAACTAAGTTATTTATTTTGTTTTTAATTTTAGGGGTAACGTTTTAAAAAAAAACATTATTGTTTTTTTTTTAAAACGTTATTTTTTTTAAAACATTATTGTTTTTTTTTTAAAACGTTACCCCCACACTTGGATTTTCTCCTATATCGTGGAAGCAGTTTACAAGCATAAATTGCTCAAGGACAAACATCCAGACCCGGAACAATTATTTGTAGGCCATACATATATCTTGTTCCGTGCGGGATTCGAACCCGCGGCCCCAGCGCAACAACTCATTGCTAAGCCACTGCGCCACGAAGCGGTCAAATTTCAAAAAGGTTTCGTTATGTTTTTCTTTGTACTTACCCTAATTTGATCCTTTAAAACTCCATTTAATGCAATACATACTTCAGGTATAATTTTGGATATAATGGAGCTGGAGACTTTAAACAAAAAATGTAGACTTTCAAAGCTATCTCCGCTAGCCAAGAATCTCAAAGTAATTGCTAGGCGAACTTTGGCTGGTATTGTATCTCTGAATGGTGTATTTTTCTTTGAAATCCACGGGGAAACTTTTTGCAACAAATATTGAAAGTCTGTTAAAGACATTCTTGTAAAATTGTCAAATTGACCAGAGGGTTCCGCCACTAGCTCAGCCAACTGATTCTCCATGGTACTTCTAGAAATAAACATAATTATAATATAAATAAATGTGTTATCGGTTTTTTTCTTGTGGAAATAAATTATTAAGTGATTCTACTACTGGTCGGTAATTACTAATTAATTGTACTTACATAAGTAAATAGTTGGTAATTATAAAAATAATCAAAAAATGGTACGATACTGTTAAATAAAATATAGGTACTTACATGGTTCTGTTACGGTGAATAGAAACCATCCACCATCTTCTTCTTCGCCATGGCTTATTAATTTTCTTTTTATGGTAAATGTGTAAAAAATTATAATAACTAATAGGACAAAGGCAAAACGCAGCAACAGTTTCTTGTAGGTCCATAGCAGCGGGCATTCGGAGTTCAAGTGATACAACGAGTGTGTACATGGTGTGCTCTCGTGTCGAGCCTTTACGCGACGAGAGGCACGCGACGCGACGAGACGAGCGTGTACAGCTGCCATATGACGTGAAAAATTGTATATGCCAACAGCTTAACTATTACCCGATTAACGGGAAAATTTATTTTATGCTATGGCTTAGTAGTTAAGTTCATAGTTATGAATGTATTCCAGAAATACTTAAAAATGTATATTTTATTAATAAAATATATTTGTGTAAATTATGTATAGGTTATATCTAGGCCTCCTTTTTATCAGTTTAATGATTTTATTTACATGTCTAACTAACATTCACAAATTATTTAAAAAAATTGTTACGTATAGTGTGTAATCAAAATATGCTTTCGATTCTACGCGTCTAAATGAACAACTTTTACTATAGATATCTTCCAAATCGCAAGAAAAATCAGGTCTTCCATACATTTTGAGCAAGTTTGTACGAAATTTTGTATGGAATAACTGACTTTGAGATATTTTTTATAGGATCAGGGTGACAAACGAGCACTCAGTTCACCTAATGGAAAGTGGTTGCTGTGGCCCATAGACATATACATCTATCCTCGGTTAAGAATCAAAATGCAGATGCGTTGCAACCCCTGAGGACTAAGATGGAATGCCTCGTTTCGAGTAAAAAGGGTCTCCTGTTCTCTACACTCACCATAGGAAACACAGCAGCGTTAAGCTCCTATTTTACACTGGTATTCAGTGAGAGCGTGGTCCTTCCCCGGTAGAGCTGACCCATTCGTGCTACAACTATACCAGTAATATAGCTGCAGTATGGGTCTATCACGTATAAATTGAAAATTTCGAAGATGATCCCATAACAAAAAATATTCACGTTGACGGGCAGAATCATTCCCTAAGTTATTAAGTACTATTTTGTTACACCTTTAGTTAGTATACCGGGGAAAAAGTTTCTTCGTATATTGTATACAAATACAAGACTTTTTTTTTTAAAGTCTTATTACATTTAATTATAATATATATGGGTCCATTCTGTTCGATAATTTGTTACCATCTTATAGGTAGTGACATAAAAAAATAAACGTTGCTGTAGAAATATTGGGATTTTGATTAAAAAAATGTGACAAGTAGTTATATTTGATATATTCAATACCAGAGATTTGAAGGAACATGGATTTAGTCATCCCATTTATAATGAAAAAAAAAAATTATAAACTTAAATATTAAAACCTCCAGAAAGCTTTCTTTTAAAGAACACAAGCAACAAAAGAAAATAATGACTAAAACTTTTAAACCAGTTTTAAGTACTCAAGCAAATACTGGATTTTTAGGAATGTTAGTGTGTATTGAAAGTCTCAAACAGAGAACTAATCTTGTGACCTGGCGTTATCATGATGAAAGATCACTCCTTTTCTGATTATCAATGCCAGGCGTTTTTATTCTATTTCTTGCTTGTCTCATTATTTATTGGTAGTAGAGATCCGAATCGATGGTTTTAGCCAGCGGTAAAAGCTCATGATAAACTTTCAATCCCACCATACACATTTTATTGCGTGTTAATCCAGATTTCTCTTTAGTCTGTAAACAAAACACATATCAATACAGAAAAAAAATCACGTTTCTTGTATGGTCTTCATACAAGAAACGTGAATTTTTTGGGTACTTTAATATTTTACTAGTTTTCTTTTTTTATTTTATGTTGTTTTAGCAGCAATATAAATACACATTCTATAAAAATTCTACATATTACGGTCCATAAGATACAGTCTACTGACAGACATATATACTCTTTGGGTACGGAACCCTAATAAACGGCAATTATGTCATTTTCTGTAGTAATGTCAATTCAAGTCAATTTCTGTAGTATTGCTCAAAAGCAATACTACAGAAATAAACATTAAATAATATAGAATCAGGTTATATTATAATAAGTTAAATATATTATATTATAAAATATAGTAACAATAAATTCACATATAAAAATCTCAGCCACGGGGAACTTTATTTTTGCATTCGCAGCAACACTGAATAGCGTCATTGATACTGTTACGAGCTTGGGGTTCGAGACAATTAAAAACTGCCGATTGAATTACCAAAATTGACACTTTAATTACACAACACTAATTACAGTCTAAAACCACACTAATAATAATACATAATCACTTTAGTTCGCAGTTATTTCGCGTCTAAGTATTCTCTTGTATCGCCAATTCAATACTGCCTCGGTCGTGGTCTATACCGGCCTTATATAGGGCCTCAGATAGTTTCCAGAATCTTCTACTGTAGCGAAATCTAGAATGTTCGAGTACATATCGGTCCCGAAATTTCTGGAAGGATCTTGACTCTCCTAGTTCTGCTACTCGACACTAGAGGGCGCTAGTGTAACTAGTGTTGCCATGTACAAGACATTAATAGTGGCGCGCAACACTGCCCCCTCCTAAGACATGCTCGTCCCGAGCATTATTGGCCCCATAATAACGCGCCAGTCGATCCACATGGACGATCTTAGGAGTACCTCTGGCACCTTTCTGTATCCGGTAGGTTGCGTCATTGATCCTTGTCACAATCCGGTACGATCCGTCCCATTTGGCTTGAAGCTTAGGAGATTTCCCTTTGCTGCGAGCTGCATTGTGTAACCACACTAGTGAACCTTCGTCAAACCCTTTGTTGTTCATTTTGCGGTCATACCGTGTTTTCATCTTCTCAGAAGTTTGCTGGCTCGACTGTCTGACGTGCTCATAAATGTCATTCATTTTGTTCCGCAAGTAATTTGCATAATCGGTTATACTGCGTGGGGCATCAGGTGGTATTCCGGTTATCAGGTCTGCAGGCAGCCGTAACTCTCTCCCAAAGTTTGCGAAAGCTGGCGTAACTGATGTACTTTCGTGAATCTTCGATATGACAACAAAAACGGTTGTATGTGCCTGTACCAGTCTCGTTGCCGTTTTTCCACAACTTTTGCCAGGTACCTTTCCAATGTCTGATTAAAACGTTCTACCATTCCATCAGATTGTGGGTGGTAAGAAGTTGTTCGTGTTTTATGAGTACCCATATCTCTGCAAGTTTCCTGGAATATTTGAGACTCGAAATTCCTTCCTTGATCGCTGTGAATCTCTAAGGGTACTCCAAAACGACAGAAGACTTCATGAACTAGTTTATCTGCAACTGTTGAAGCTTCTTGATTTGGAATGGCGAAGACTTCTGGCCACTTACTGAAGTAATCCATCACAACCATGAAATACTTGTTACCACTTTCACTTTTCGGAAACGGCCCCGCAACATCAATGGCTATCCTCTCCCATGGTGCACCGACATTGTACAATTTCAATGCGTCTCTACTACGAATTTGAGGTCCCTTTACAGCCGCACAACTTGTACATTTGCGGCACCAGTCCTTGACGTCGGCACGACAGTGGACCCAGTAAAACCGTTCTCGGATCTTCAGTAGAGTTCGTTTAACTCCCAGGTGGCTTCCTGAACAACCACTATGGTACAGCTGTAGAACATCCGGTACTTTAGCCTTAGGGACAACCATTTGCAAATGACAACTGTCTCCCTGACCATTTTCTCATTTACGGCACAGGACTCCATCCTGAATCAGCAAGCTGTCCCATTGGGCCCAATAGCTTTTCGTGGTCGAACTCATTGCTGAGACGTCGCTCCACTTGGGCTTAGGAGCACTGGCCTTCATCCATTCCAGAATCGGCTTAATGTCCGAATCTTCCTGCTGTGCATGTTGTAGGCTGTCCTTCCATTCATCGCTGAGCTGGTCTGTCCTGAATATCCTCGCAGATACCACTTCTTTACCCTCTTGACTAGTACAATGCTTGCAATCTTCAGGGCAAGGTCTTCTTGACAATGCATCTGCATTGCCGTGAGATTTCCCGCTGCGATGTTCGATCACAAAGTCGTATTCCTGCAGTAGTTCAATCCATCTCGCAACTTGTCCTTCCGGATTTTTGAACTGCAATAGCCATTTCAGTGCAGCATGGTCAGTTCGTAAGTGGAATTTCCGCCCTAGAAGATATTTGCTAAAATGCTGCAAGGACTTTACCACAGCAAGCAATTCCCGTCTTGTGACACAATAGTTCCTTTCCGGCTTTGACAACGACATGCTGAAGTACGCTATCACAATCTCTTGATCACCATTCCGTTGAGACAACACACCGCCAAGTCCTATATCACTTGCGTCTGTGTCAACTATGAATTCCTTGCCCGCATCAGGGTACCCCGAAATAGGTGTTTTGCACAGACAGTTCTTGAGCTCCTGGAATGCAATATCGCAACTTTCATCCCAGCGGAAATGTCGCTTCTCCTCGGTTAGCTTGTGCAGAGGTTTGGCTATGTCTGCAAAGTTCTTCACAAATCGCCGATAATAAGAGTAATAAAAGTCGTTGGGTGTTGGTTTCTAACAGACTGTTTTATTCAAGTCATTCATACATAGATAATAAACAAAGTTTCACCTCAAAGTCTAATAGATGGCGCTACTTGTATTAATTAACATTATCTTTGATAATATTCTAACACCCCCACTTTATCAAAATAACAACACTTTCAAAGTATTACATACAGTGGAGAGGTAAAGCTACACAAAAAAATTGTCTTTTAAACTCAATATACAATAACAAATACAGTATACAGTTCTGCCTTGGCTATTCTAAATTAACAATTCCAAAATCTTTCATGAACTTATAATGTTTAACAGCTGGCAGACCTTTGGTTAGCAAGTCAGCAGGCATGTTAGCTGTTGACAAATATCTAGCTTCAATTATATCATTTCTTAAAACTTCTCTAATGAAATGATACCTGATATCGATATGTTTGGACCGTTTATGTGACTGATCATTATTTGCTAACTTTAATGCACTCTGACTGTCATTGTACATAACAATTTTACTACAAGAACCAATTATTTCAAACTCTAACTTCTGTAAATATATTGCTTCTCGACATGCTTCCGACAAAGCCATATATTCTGCTTCACAACTACTAAGAGCAACAGTTCTTTGTTTCTTGCTCTCCCAAGAAATTACAGCACCTGATTTAATGAAACAGAAACCAGTATATGAGCGTCTGTCAGTGGCATCACTTGCCCAATCAGCGTCCACAAAACCTACAAGCTCTGCACTTTCTTTGGAATATTTTAAACAATAGGTCTTAGTCTGTGACAAATATTTCAGAATTCTTTTTGCATAATTCCAGTGTACATAAGAATAGCAATTGTTAAACTGGCTTAAATAACTGACTGAATAGGAAATATCAGGACGAGTTAGGACAGCTAAGTACATTAAACTTCCTATTAATTTTTGATAAGGTAGCTTTTGTTCACATACATTAGACTTACCAACATTCAATTTACATTCTATAGGAGTTTCTACTGCATGACATTCAGACATATCAAATTTTTCAAGTAACTGATTAATATACTGTTCTTGATCTAAAGTAATTACATTGGTGCTTTTGTTAATGTTAACTCTCATGCCCAAATAATTTCTCACTTGACCTAAATTCTTTATTTTAAATTTTTGACTCAAAATCTCTATTAAATTATCAGATTCAGACTTACAATTTGAATATACTAGAAAATCATCGACATACAATCCAACTATAGTTTTCTTATTATCACTATGATTTTTAACAAATACACAGGGTTCTAATTTACATTTTCTAAATCCTGATTTACATAGTATCCCCTCAACCCTTTTATACCATGCTAGAGATGATTGTTTTAATCCATAAACAGCTTTTCTTAACTTTAAAACTTTATTTGAATTATTTATGGGAAAACCTTCAGGTAAATGCATAAATATGCTTTCTTTTAGATGACCATTAAGGAAAGCTGTTTTTACATCTAGATGAGTGATGTCCATGTCTAACTGGACACTTATGGCAAACAACAAACGCAGGGTTGAATGTCTAATCACTGGACTGAAGGTTTCTTGGTAATCAATACCAGCCTTCTGGGTAAAACCCTTGGCTACAAGCCGCGCACGATATGTCACTTTATTGTCTGAGTCAAACTTTTTTTTAAACACCCACTTACACTGCACTACACTCGCGTTGCTGGGAGTATCGACAACTTCCCATGCCTGATTGTCTTGGAATGACTGCAGCTCTTCTGCCATGGCCTGCGACCACATCAGTCCCTCTGGCCCACTGATGGCCTCTGCATATGTCAGTTCATCTTCTCCTGTAGCTGTAGCACACATGTTGACGATACCGTATCTATCTGGCTTTCTCCTCTGACGCTTCTCTGTTACTTCTGTAACTGGTGTAGCAGTATCTGCATGTGGTATATCTGAAGCTTCTTCTGTACTCTGTGGAGTTGAACCAGTCTGTTCAGTGTTCAGGTTTTCTCCACAAGCTTCTGACTCTAAACTTTCTTCTTCAACATCCATGTATTCAGATTCTGAAGAACTTGACTTGTTCAGGGGTTCAAGTTTCACCACAGATTCCTCTACCAACTCCCCCACTGAATCTGTGCTTTCTAGAGAAACAGTTACTGTCTTTAGACGCTTGGGTTTTTCATGTATTATAACATCCCTACTTGTGGTGACTTTGTTCTTTACTGGGTCATATATTCGGTAACCTTTGACATTATCACTATAACCAACAAGTATATGTTTTCTTGATTTTCTGTCCCACTTGGCTCTTTTTTCTTTTGGTGTGTGCACCATCACTGGACTCCCATATACACGTAAATGTTGTAAATCTGGTTTCCTACCATACCACATCTCATATGGAGTCTTTTCAATACCTGAAGCTGTAGACCTGTTTTTGAGATATACTGCGGTATTTGCAGCTTCTGCCCAAAATTTTTTATCTAATTCTGCTTCAAAAAGTAGGCATCTGGCTCTCTCCACAATGGTGCGATTGCTTCTTTCGCTGAGTCCATTCTGCTCTGGTGTGTAAGCATTTGATTTTTGATGAATTACCCCTTCATGTTTCAAAAAATCTCTAAAATCATTGCTGCAATACTCACATCCATTGTCTGTGCGCAATATTTTTATTTTTCTGTTTTGAAAGTTCTCCACCATTGACTTAAACTCTTTAAAACAAGTCAGTGTTTCACTTTTACATTTTAAGAAGTATATGAAGGTCATTCTGGTGAAGTCGTCAATAAATAACAAAAAATATCTTGCACCACCAATGGATTTGCACTCCATCGGTCCACAGATGTCTGAGTGCACAATCTGCAAGATTTCTGTAGCTCGTGTACCTGTCGTAAATGGTAATCTTGACTGTTTGCCTTCACAGCAAATTTGACAGCTAGACTTACTTGTCACAAATTTGTCTGAGTAATCCATTCCATTGACTAAACCTTGCTTCATCTTGTTCATATCTGTGCTGTTTAAGTGTCCAAGCCTTCTATGCCATGTTTGTCCATCTACTGTTGATGATGATAACAGACAAGTCTCATTTTGCAAGATTAACTTGTATACATTATTTACAAGTTCAGCTTCCGCAACTAAATTGCCTAATCTGTTTTTTATGAGGCATCGGTCGGGTTCAAACACAACACTATTTCCATTTCTTATCAATTCACTGACTGATAGTAGGTTAGTCGCAAGCGTCGGTACGCACAACACGTTCTTCACTGTAACTTTGTAACCGAAACTCGTCGTGACATCTACTTCGCCGGCACATAATACAGGCACCTTCATGTTGTTTGCTACTGTGATTTCAGGTAAACTAGACGAATCCGTCCTATTTGTCAACCAACTTTCGTTTGTAGTCATATGTGTACTGGCTCCCGAGTCAACATACCAGTCACATTTATTAAAGTAACCGCTCAGAAAAACAACACTGAATGCATTTGTTTGCTTTTTCTTCTCTGTTTTTTCGTTTCTAAATGGACATTGAGACATGAAATGTCCAGATTGTTTGCATTTGTAGCATGTTATTGTTTTGTTATTTCTGTCATTTGACTTTGACATTGACGTACTCGGTGCATAGATATTCGGAGTCGGTCCGCCATGTTTGCTATTGCTGCCAACTTTACCAAGTTTCTTTTTCTGCCAACTTCGAGCAATAAATGCTGAGTTGTCATTTCCGTTCACTTCAACAGAGCCGCCATTTTCCATATCTAACAATTTTGTTTTTATGGAATCTGCCGTGATCTGGATCCCGGAATGCTCTATTGCCATGATCATTGGCATAAACTTATCTGGTAAACCAGCTAGTAATAATGACCCAACCCAATCATCGTTTATAATGAATCCAGTACCGCTTAATCGTTGCGAAGTTTCCACAATCTGCGTAACGTAACTAGTCATATTTTCACATGTTTCTAGTCTGATGGAGATTAAATGACGTAACAAAGTTATTCTTCTTGAAAATCCCGCGTCATCAAATAGAGCTTTGAGTTTTGACCATAACTCCTTTGTTGTCTTCGTCTCCTTTATGTGCACAAACAATGATGTGTCAATAGTCAGGATCAATTTTGCGCGTGCTCTGGCATCTGCTACTGTCTGTGCTGCATCTGTCGCCGCTGCTTCTTGCTTGAGGTACTTGTCCGTGTCCTCAAGGACTAGCAAGTTTTGTACGGCGAACGCCCAGTCATCATAATTTTCACGACCCTTGAGCTTTGGCACACTCGCAATAAGACTTGAGTTCATCTTGATTGATGTCACACGCGTAAAATAAACTAACAAAACTAACAATAACACTTCTAAAACGCAATAATTTTAATTTACTTTGCAAAATCTGGGCCCATAACCTAATAAAAGTCGTTGGGTGTTGGTTTCTAACAGACTGTTTTATTCAAGTCATTCATACATAGATAATAAACAAAGTTTCACCTCAAAGTCTAATAGATGGTGCTACTTGTATTAATTAACATTATCTTTGATAATATTCTAACAAAGAGCACAAACCCAAAAATGCTCTAACCTGTGTCTTGTCTTTTGGAACCAGCCACTCCTTGACAACGGCAATTTGCTCTGGATCCGTGCGGATACCTTCTTCTGACACTACATACCCCAAAAAACTATCTTGCCGTTTGAATAGTGAGCACTTCTTCGGACTCAACTTGAAGTTGGCACTCTGGATCTTCATGAGCACGCGTTCCAGGTTTTGAAGGTGTTCTTCATACGTACGGCCTACAATGATGATGTCATCCAAGTAGACCAGACAGGCATCTCCAATTAGCCCGGTAAGTACAAGCTCCATCAATCTTTCAAACGTTGCTGGAGCATTGCACAATCCAAAGGGCATGACTTTAAATTGCCACAGACCCTTTCCTGTGGAGAATGCAGTTTTCTCCTTGTCCTTAGGGTCAATTTCAACCTGCCAGTAGCCACTTTTCAGGTCCAGCGTACTAAACACAGCACTGACGACCCTAATAATGCCTATGATAGTTTTATCGACATTTCTTTTACTATATAACTTGTGTTTTCCTTTTAAATCGGTTATAGTACGTAGTGAAAAATAAATTAAATGGGTGTCACGTGGTATTCGGATTTGTAGCAAAAGGCAGCGCCATTTATTGTGGCAAAAGAGATTAAAACGGACATATGAAAATAAAAAACAATTTCTATACGTATTCCCGAAGATTCAAAAAAATAATTAAACTAACTCAAAAAAGCCCAAAATAACCATCTCATCCAAAACTCAAAGAATAAATCCAAGACATCTTGGCAAATAATAAAAAATAGTAAAAAAATTACGGAACCTATTTCTCAGATAAAAAAAAGATGATTTGTTAATAACAAACCCTAAAGAAATAGCTGAATCATTCAACAATTTTTTTATCGAATCACAGATATACCAAAAACCGTATTAGATAACATAAAAAAAATTAATTATAACCCACACTCGATATTTATAGCACCAACTGTACCACAAGACATAATACGGATAAAAAAATCTTTAAAAAACAAAAAAGTTTTCGTTATGATGGCATTTCAACGCAAGTTATTAAATCTGTTTGCAACAGCATATCTGGACCTCTTAGTCATATTACGAGTATTAATGTAAGCATATTAGCGGGAATATTTCCCGAAAGACTGAAAACGGTTATAGTAAAACCACTTTATAAAAAAAAAAACAATAATGAAGACATGTCTAACTACCGACCGATTGCTTTGCTTCCAGTTTTTTCTAAAGTAATGGAAAAAGTTATTTACGAATCCATTTACGCATTTTTGGCTAAATAATATACTCTGCGATGAACAAAATGGGTTCCGAAAAAACAAAAACGTGAATATGGCTGTTTACGACTTATTAAAGAGGGTAATGGCTAGTGTAGATACCAGAACTCCCATATGTGCTATTTTTACAGACATGTCTAAAGCCTTCGATTATGTGAACCATGACATACTATTACAGAAACTTAACGCATACGGCATTCGAGGTAACATTCTTAACCTAATAAAATCATATCTGATAGGCCGCAAACAATGTACAGAGATTGCTAGAATGTGTATTAAATCTAAACGTGAATGCAAATATGTTTCTTCCTATAGAGAAATAAAATTCGGCGTACCACAGGGGAGTGTCCTTGGGCCACTGTTATTTTTACTTTATATAAACGACCTCCCAAGCCAAATCCATCATCCAATGGTATTATTTGCCGACGACAGTACAGCTCTAATAAAATGCCTTAATAAAGATTCTTATGAAAACGATATAAACACTACGATTAAAACTATAATTAACTGGCAGAATTATAATAATTTACTGATCAATATTAAAAAAATTAAAATAATGCACTTTTATCAGAAAATTCGCACTGAAGATCTAAATATAAATTACAATTGTCAAATAATTGAAAGAGTAGATGTCGCAAAATTTTCAGGTATTTCAATAGATAGCCAATTGACATGGAAGGCCCAAGCAGATGATGTCTGTAAGAAACTAAGTGTTTCTGCATATGCGCTCTATAACCTGGCAAAAAAAGTCAGTGTCAAAACGGTGCTAGTAGCTTACCATGACCTGGTAGTTTCCATTTTAAGATACGGTATTATATTTTGGGGCAACTGTGGCGATAGAGAAAGCATTTTCAAAGCCCAAAAGCGCTGCATAAGAGCAATCTTCAATTTAAAGATAACAGATAGTTGTGTTCCTATTTTCAAAGCCCATAAATTATTAACTTTTCCGTGTCTGTATATTTTAGAAATAGCGATATTTGTTAAAATTAATCATCATTTATTTCCTACCTTAAATGAAACTCGAGTACGAGCCGTATCTATGAGAACGCAATATAAATATTTACTGTATACAGGAAGATTTCAAACAGCTTTATTAAAAAAAAGTGTTATGAGCATGGCACCTGTCATATATAACAAAATCCCAAATTTTGTAAAAAAATCAACCCATTAGAATATTTAAAAAGAGTCTTACTTCTTTGTTATTGGAAAGATGCTATTACTCAGTGTCGGACTTCTTAAATGATACCAATATTTAAATAACGTTTCAGTTAATTAATTGTTTATAATATGTTGTTTGCATTAATAATTTATATGTATTATATATGTATTAATAATTAATAATTTATGGTAATTGATGACGGTATCTTAAAACTATAGGTCTTAACATTAATATGAAATTATCGAAGAAAATGATGAGCTAGATTTTCTTTTTTACCATTAGTAGGAAAACCAAAAATGATTAGAAGAGAATACAATCATTTTAGATGCATATAGATAACAAAAATACTTATTGAAAGTCATTTAAGCTATACCACTAGTTCCGAAAAAAATCACTATCCTAGGAAGGACCAGCAAGAAACCCAGCGGGATTTTTTTTAAATAAAATTAATTTACAATATATTATTTCAGAATTAGTATGAAAACATTTATAAACAGCATTGTAGCGATCACCTCATTCTCATGGGTTATTGTCAATCATGTACTTTTTAGTAGTATACCCTAATAATCCTTACTAAACAATTTTTGCTTGGTATAAATTTTAAACTTTGATAGATAAGGCCTGCATATTTTCTGGGACTTTGTTGTGAAAGTGTATACATGAAGGAATTACTGACTCTTTTGAGTCGATTAACTGGTATAACTAACTTGTGCTTGTTCCTAGTATTTACAGAATGTACATCACTAAATACAAATACTTACATAATATTTTCGTAAATATGAGAGGCCAAAGTTAATATATTTATTTCTTTAAATTTTTTGTAAGTATAAATTATAGTTATTATTTATGACAACAAGTGATAAATCATTACCATAATTTATTTATTTTCATGACAAACAACAATGTTAAAAACCTTTTTGTTGAATAATTTTTAAAAAACCGTCTTTTACTTTCGAAGGTTCTTGAAATCCCCTCTAATTTAGAAATATCGTGAAATCTATTAGTAATTATTCTGCTATATATTTAATAAGACTTATCTTGTGCTCTATCCCTGCGAATGTCTGCTCAAATTTCAAGCTTACAAAAACCCTGTCATTGGCAATAAACTTTTCTAATATTTTTGTAATTATATACTTTTGTTGCATTTCATTGTACATTGTAATGTTTTCCTTAGTAATCTTTCGTACAACCATTTCGCAAGTACAACAAATAATTAAATAATCGTTAGATGAAAAACGTAAACCTCCTCTAGTTTTCAAATTTATTAATTTATGAAAGAAATGCCTTTGTAATACAAACGCGCGGTGCATTTTTGGCATTAATTTTTTTTATTGCATAATGTGCAGTGCTACCCGCCAGATATCCTATTATTAACTTACGATAGTCATTATGTGATTCTACCCCTAGTCGCTTAGTTAGCTGATCATCAGTATGATGGTATGATGGTGTGGTGGAATTTATTACAACTCGAAGTCTTCCTGCTATCGTTGTGTGTAAACCTTTAGTATCAAAATGAACGCTACAAATTACACTCGATTTGGATGGAAGCCAGTCATTTTCGTTTGTAATCTCTCTAATTATATTAATTTAGTTTTTTCTCCATACTTCATTGGTTTTAGGAAACCTTAGAAAATAAGAAGATTTATATACTAAGTTAAACATGGCATAAAAAAATCACGATTGCAGCACTTCGTGATGATCATAAAAAACATTTAAGAACCTTCTTAACCGTATTATAATCGGTCCAATTTTCAGGAAATGGTAACATAGTAAAAAATAAAAATCACGAATACAGCGCGACATAATGGACTATGACCAAAAAATGCATAAAACCGCATTATAATCGATCGGGTAATTTTTCAGAAAAATTGTAACAAAAAAGTGGACATAAAACAACCTCAAGAGGTTGTTGGGCAAACATATGTACCTACCGTATCCGTGCGAACGTGGGTAAAAATAGCAATTTCCCAAATTTCGGGTAATTTTCCCTAAAAATAATTAACAACACTGATCACGTGACTCATGTTTTTAATTTAAGACATAAAATTCTCAAATAAGTGATTATAATTACTGACTCACTTATGAAAGGTGATTCCTTGATGTTTTTTTGATAAAACCACTATGATTTTTAAAAAATTTAACGACGCAAGACGGCATATTGATTTTTTGTTTTTACTTACGACAACAACATCTCGCTGACGACGTTGCGTAATGGCGGGCGCTAGATTTATTATTAGTGTGAATGTGTGCGTGACCCCTTGTACGTACAAGCGAGCTGACTTATTTTGGGTGCCTCGCTGAGTTGTATAGCGAGATTCAGTCCGCCTTTTTTTTATATGTCCATGGTGTTGATACATGTGATTTTTTGTGTTATACGTCATCGACAAGTTTATTTTGGAAAATTGCTGTCCGCCGTGTAATTTGGCAAATAAATCGTGTATTGACT